TGACTCCATTTGAACCGTTCCAGGAATTCCCGGTATAAGTATTGTCGTGCTTCCGGGCAAGTGGTATTCTTGGTAAAAAACTCTGTCAGCATAGTCATCGAGTTAGTGTCATCTGCCAAAATATCTGCTACTCTTTGGTGAGGGTAAAAATGAATAGTTTGTCCTTTAGGAAGATGAATTTGTAATCGTTCCACCGATGGATAAAGTCGATTAGTTACAAATTTGAATATTCTCCATAAAGCTTCAGGTGCACAAACCCATCTTGCATCAACAAGCTGCTTTATTTCATCTTGAATAGGTTCATGATGGACTTCAAAAGCTACTCAGTCGGGACCTTTGTAAACATATTTGTACAGATACTTAACACTCTTAATGTTGCAAACATTAATATGACAATCATATCTGAGGAGTAGCCATGAGTTATACGGAATGACCCACCGATTATCCACCATTATACGTGCATTATGATCTAATGGGATTGGATCATGATTGTCTCTTCTACGATAGACTGGATAAGAATCATTTCCTTGAACTGTAGTTAGTGCAAATGGCTTAGGATAATTTCGTTTACAGCTACCACGTTTCATACAGGGTGACCGTGAATTGTGTATTCCACATGGACCATGTATCATATGCCTTAAGATGGCACCATACAATTCAGGCTCTTCATTTGGATTTGGTATTTCAGCCCGTACCACCTAATCATAATCATCTGGACTATTAAGCTTATCATTTTCTTCTAACATGAGAAGCATGTGAACATGGGGGAGACCGCGCTTTTGAAACTCAATGACATATACATATGCAAGAACTTTGCCTAAAACACCTTTTTTTATAACATCATTCTTCAACTCTTCAAATTTTGCACGAAAAACCCTTGTAAGCAAATCTGGTCGATCTTGTGGTGTTTGGCCAGGTAGTAGCTCATCACTTATTTCTTCCCAAGTTGGATTACATGTCATTGTTAGGAAAATATCTGGTCTTCCATATTTTTGAACCAAAGTCATTGCATCTTGATACCTTTGATACATGTCTCGGGGACTACCAACAAAAGATGATGGTAATATAGTCCTACGACGACCGACGTCTCCTGTATTTGTTTTGTTATAGGTCGTTAATAAGTCTAAATATGTTTGTTTTGTTTCAACCCTTTAATAAGTCTCATTTAATGTGACAGAACATGAACTTAAAGAATATATGTTTTATTATAAACTGATTAGCTTCATACCTGCATTATTTTGTCCTGCAATTAATGAGTCTTGCAGTCCTCGATAAAATTCAGATCGAATTGTGTGTTGATTATTACGCATCCATCTAAGCTTTTGTGATTCGATCTTGACGTAGTTATCAACTACATATTGTTGCAATAGGCGGCCACCACGAAGTAGAAGCGATTCGTCGTGTTGACGGATCTAAAATGATAAAATTCATTGTTCAACACAATATAAGTTTTAAAAATTAATATTGTATTCATAGAGATGAAGGTCTTAGGTTACCTGAAGAAGATACGAATAATAGTCACAACATGTCACTTTTCTGCTGTTGTTATTTCGAGTATTCACATCCCATCCATATGTTCCATAAGGTAACAGCAATGGATATTGTAAAGGGTCATAGTAGCCGACACAGTCTTTGATACTCTTAAGTTGACCATCTGTAGTTTGCACAACAATATCTCGACCTCTAATGTTTTCTGATCCAATGAGATAGTTTTCACTATTTTTGCTACATCAACTCTTGGTTTATGGTTGTGTAAGTTTGTATATGTTTTGCTGGTGAACTTTTCCACATAAAGGGATAACTTTGAGACCCCAAATACAGACCGAAAAAAGCCAACTCCTCTTTTTCCCTTGTGAGCAACAAAGTGCAAATAATAGCAGAAAGAGTCATACAAGTTTTTTTTCACTCCTTTTATTCTACAATCATTTCATAAACTGTCAGTTTCATCAAAAGTCTGGTACCAAGTAACCAAGTGCAATACAATCGAATGTAATACTCGGATAAACAAAAGAAAGACCAACGTCCCTCCACCAACTACCCATTACAAAATATGCATAAAAAAATAGATGATGATCAAAGATCGAAGCAACAAATGAGAAAATTTTCGAGCAGTGCAACCATGTAAATGAAGAAGGAAAAAGATAAAAGTACCGAAAATGCAGACTAAATGAACAAAATTGATGTACAGAATATGGGCAAAAGAGATAAAAATAAAAAATGCATAAGTAACTTAAAAACTGCACATAAAAAGAAAACTTCACCTGCTGCTGTTAGGTATTCCTCCCATTTGCAGATCCGATTGAGGTAATTTTCCGAAGCTTACCCTATGTGAATCACCGGCACCCAAGAGAAAGCAAACAATGAGCAGGAAAATAAACTTATTGGCAGAGAGAACATAAAAATGAAATTTTCTACTAAATTAATTAAAATAACCTAATGTGCAGGAAAATAAACTCATTGGCAGAAAGAACATAAAAATGAATATCTCTAATAAATTAATTAAAATAAACTAATATGTAGGAGGAACATAAATAACAAAGAAATACAAACCAATAATATTAAGATTGACAGGAGCAAAAAGATTGAGAGTTAAGCATGACATAGGTTCTGAATTGAATTGGTGATGGTAAAAATGGAAAATCAAGACATCAATACCGGCTCGAATTTTCCAGAGCTTCCACTTTGTAGTCCCAGTCCTTATTCACAAATTTGCCAGGAACAAAGAAAATGAAAAGAGAGAAAAATCAAAACTGGATTGGTGGTGTAAAACGTAAGTACGTGAGCAAGTTGCAATTTTTTTTGGGTGCCCTCTCCCTTTCCGCTTGATAGAAAGAAACAATAGGGATGCACAAAACAAACAAAAGAAAGCAGTACTCTGTAACGCAAAGCAAAACCTAAAATTTAAAAGAAAAAACCCAAAACCACTGCTCCCTTTTTGTATTGAAAATTCATTTGCTCTTCTCTTGAAAGCTTTTAGTCGAGTTTATGAGGCCATGTTGTTGAAATTTTGTACCCACTTTTTGCTGGCGGTTTATTTCCTCTCTATAACTGTTCCGCTTTGTTTGCAAAGGCAGAGACGTAGAGGAAATACTGATGTGGGAGTGGGAAGTTATAGGGGAAAAAGCAATGCTATGACAAATTTAAATTCTGCAGTTAATGTTTTTACCTTTCTATCCCTCATCAAAATTCTGTATAATTTATTGCATGACTTAAGTTTTTTTTGTTTCAAGGGCTTTTGTGTCCAGTTTTTATTATATATTTTTGTATATTATCTGTCTCCAAAAATAGAGGAGTTTGATCAGCACGTTCCTTTTTATTATATGTTTTTTTTAAATAAAACAAATTTAAATTTTTGACAAAATTGCCCTTGCATTTTTTTACGTATCAAATTTGATCAGTTTCAGATTTTTTTGTTTGGAGGTGTTTTAGTCCAAAAATTTTTGGTGAAGCCTTAAGCCACAAAGTAGCCTTCTGACTTTCTAATATTAGAGATTAGAGATAAATAAACAAAAACAAAAAATCAAAAAACAAAAAATAAACTAATCGCCGTCGTCGTCTTCGTCCTCGCACCCAGCAACCAAACAGATTGATGAATTCCCCAAACCCATATTCTGTCTCCTTGACTTCAGCCGGCAGTTTTTGGTACCAATCAGTGATTTGCTGCTTTGCTTCATCACCTCCATAACCTTTTCAAAAACTAGATTGCTTCGACTAACATAGAAGACACAACTACAAAAACCATCTTCTTCTCCAAACACTACGACCACGACTACCCTTCTCCAATCGCTCTGCCATCCAGAGAAAATCCATGGCCGACCGCGGAGCGCATACGGCACCAACAATCAAGTCAGCCAATAAAATTAGCTAAGTCGAGAGAAGAAGAAGAAGAAGCAAAGCAGCGGCTACGCCGCCCGAGAAGCCGGAGCTACGCGATTGCTGCGGCAATGGATGCTTCCGGTGTGTGTGGAATGCGTATTCTGATAAGGAGGAAGCGTAGGAAATTAACATAAAGTAAAGGGACAATTGCAGGAAATTAAGAGGCATAGTTAAACTAAGATTTTAAAAGATTTATTTTAAAAGTGATAGATTTGATAGGATTTAAGAGGATTAGAGACTTCTACAAAATTCATATGAATTTTTTAAAGAATTTGAATGGATTGTGGTGGATTGTGATGGAATGATTTGAAATACTAGGAGGTGAGGTTTGATTCTTTTTAGTCTTAGTTGCTTTCAAATCCCACAAAATCCACAACTTATTGAAATCCTCCAAAATCTTAATTTTTTTAATACACTTATATTTGGATGAATTTTAAAATCCTTTAAAATATTTTAATTGATTACACCTAAATTTTAAAGAATTCTAAAATCTTTTAATTGACTACACTTATATTTGAATGGATTTTAAAATTCTTTGAAATCTTTTAATAGATTACCCTAACAAAGAAGGAAAGGGGGGATTGCAGGAAAGTGAAGAGTAAGGGAAAGAGGCAACTATGTTCATTCATTCATCCACCCCTTACAAGGCTGCTGCTTACATGCTTATGTTCAACTTAAAAGGAAATCTATCTTGAATTGTGCAGCATCCCTTTGCGAAGCTGGAGAGATTGAAATTCGTGTGCTCTAGCTTTCCGGCGAGAAAGGATGGAGTCGAGTTTTTTCTTTTTCTTCTTTTTATTTAAATTAAAAATTAAATTTTAATCCACATGTCATCAAAATATTGGAGCTTGGGGGATTCATAAGGTGCCACATCAGCACACTAGTAGAATTGTTTAATGGAATTCAAACACAATGACAACATTGATTTGCATTACTTATTTTCAAAACGACGTTGATTAATTTTCAAATTCATGAATAGAATAAGTAAATTTCAAAAACTATTTATCATAAAAATCCAATAGAAAAACCCACCAAAACAAATATGAGAGGAGTCAACTGAGTGTTGTCATATCCCATCTTTCTCCCACCTAAACCCCAGAATTTACAAAGTCGTTCAACCCCTTCTCTCTCTCCCTCTCTCACTTTTGACTCTTGAGTTTCTTTTTTGACTCTTTGACCCCACAATCACGTACATTTAAATTCCCAACCTCACCCTTATTCGCAAAACCTCAACCAACAAAATGCTCCGTTCACTCTTCACCTCCACCCTCACGCGCCTCTCCTCTCGCTGGCCAGTGCTAATCTACGCCGCCTCGTGGACCACAGTCCTCATTCTGACAGTGGCCGTGGCCTCCTTCTCGCCCGAGGTTGCTTTCGTGTCCGCCATTTCGTCGACGTCTGAATTCTCCCGCGTCTGCGGCTCAGAAGGGTCGATCAGGATTCCATCGGACGTGCCGGGAGACGTCCTGTGCCTGCCGGCTCACCTGTTCAGCAAGTCCGCCATCGATTTCATCGTGCCTCCTGTTTTCGCGGCGGCCGTGGTGGCTGCGTCGGCTTACCTGGTTAGAGCCGTGGGCTTGTGGGAGGCCGATGAGGTCCCTTGAGTTGGGCCTGTTGGGCTTCGACTTACAAGTTTAGGTGTTTACTCTTTATTTTTTTGTTACAAGGTTTCGATTTATTTTTTGCTACAATTTTCATCATGTTTACTTGCACGGAATGAAAAGTCAAAGATTGAAGAAAAATGATAAGTTTAATCAACTTAATTCTTGATTTTTCATGCATTGAACTATGCAATTTGTAATGTGATGTGGAGCTCTCATATTTTTTACAAGAGCTAGTAATTCTAGGGTAAGTTAGAGTAATTTTGTGCTTGTGTCTTTGAAAACGTATGAGAAGTCAAAAATCAAAATGATTCAATTACAGGATGAAAAATTAACTAGATAAGCAATATCATGTTACAATTTGATAAAATCAAATCATAAAACACCAACTAATTTTAAATCTAGTAATTCTTTTATTTCAATGTCGGAAAACTCTCACATCCGAATTATAAATTAGGAGTGCTGCCCGGACTTCATATTCTCACCCATCAATAAATGTTGAAAATGAAAATGCTCTTTCCTCACCCCACCTAGATTCCTAAAATACCTTGATATATTTTTCGAAACAAAAAAAAAAAAAAAATGAAGAAAAACTCAAAGAATCTTGCACCCGTATCCACCTACCCGTCGCGGCAACGACAAACACCCCCTCCTATCCTAAGTTCGGCACCGGACCATGAACAGCCAACAAGGATGGATTGAAATTCTCTCACCATTGTCTCTATATTTGTCTTCCCCTCTTCTCTCTTGCATCCATACTGGTTGTTATCAAGAACAATTGTCCTCACATGGTCTTGTCCTCACATGGTCTCCTTCTTCCGGTTGCTCTCTAGTGACTGCGCCGTCGAAATCAAGGTAATTGGCACGAAAAGTTTTAAGTCCGGAATAATTGGCGGGAGGAATTTGGTGCACGATTGCAGTTTTACTTGAGCGATTGGACATTTCTTAGTGCCATTGAGTGTTCTTTGGTCTCTTTGCCAACAAACATGGTTAGGTGGGTGCTAGCGGGTGACGTTAAGAATTCTCATTTATCACTTTTTAAATTTAGAACCTTGTATTTTTTTAGGTCTTCATGGTTATTTTGTACGAGGTTAAATTTGTCAATAAAATTTTCGTATTAAAGTGAGTAGGAAATAAGACAATGAGTACGTATAACACCACTCTAAAATTTCAAAAGAATGGAATTGAGTTCACTCTTTTTGACCTCTTATATATATATATATATATTTTTTTTTAAATTTTTTATTTCTGACTATTAAATTGAATAAATCTAATAAAAACAACAAACATGATTAATAAAATATGCAAGTAGAAAAATTTGTTTATCATTTTCATATATTTTATACTTCATTCCTACTTTTGATTTTCTTTTAGGCACTTTTAGATTTGGTCCCAAAGTTTCACCAAGGTTCCAATTTGGTGCAAAAGGAACAAAAGTTGCTTTGTGCTAATAAGGATGAGCAGTCTCTTATTTTAATCCAAGAGACAAGGAGTTCACTCCAAAGCAAAATTTCAATTTAAACTAACATTAAAACTAAATAATTATGACAATCACTATGACCCTAATGGCACCTATATTATCCAACAAACGGCTTATTCCTTATGGGAAATAACATTCAAACAATTAATATGACAAAACGACTGTATTTCAAATTAATCACTTAATAATATGTAGACTTTAACATTTCGATGGTATGTAAGTTTCTCTCAAGCCTTTGCATATAATAATGTTGTCGCAGATTTAACACAGGATGCTTCCTAGATTCAGATTTTGGAAGCTCCATCAATCAACTTGTTGCTGAAGTCACAAAGCTTTTTAGCCAAGTTTTCATCACCAGCATCTTTGCTGGGTTTCGTCTCATTGCAGTCGACATAGTATTTTCCGCTTATACCTTTCAACTTTGGGTGCAGTGCCACGTACAATGTTGTGGCTGCTCCCTTGAAAAAATAAAACAATAACATAACTAGCCAGTTAATAACAGTTTAACCCCTCTGTTAAAACGAGGAATTGAAATATAATTAGTGAGACTAATCACCTGAGGTACATTCTTCCACATGCAAAAGGTGAACATCTTAAAAGCCTCTGGAAAAGAAAGACGATCCAATTATGTAAAGTAATACAATAACACACGTTATAACTTAAATGAATCGATACGAATACTGCAGATCATATCATGCAGTGTATTGAACACGTAAGATAATCGCTCTTATATTAATTATGAATGTGGGGAGAGTGTAACATAACATACTCATCAAAAGAGGACTATGCCTCATGAGACGTGTCGTGATCAATCCTGGGTGGACAGAGTTGACTGTAATGCTCACCCCTTCTTCCTGCACACAGAAGGGTAAAACAGTATACCATTTAGGACCGGAAACTTCACTTTTTATACTTTCTTAATAAGGTTGATTGAGTTTACCAAAAGGAAAAAAAAAAAAAAAAAAAAAAAAAACACAAAACAAAAAAAACAAAAAGGTTGATTCCCATAAAATGAAGAATTATAATTGGATCATTCATTTTTACATGGCTATGTGAATATTTCACCGTACAAATATCGTGATTTGAATTGATTGTTTTCTTTATCATCTTTTAAAGATCATCTTTAAAAAAATTTAGTTGATTTGAATACAGTTTAATCATCCATATATGTCGAACAAATCGACGGTTATGGTAACAAATAATATCCTCGTGATCAACCATCAACTTGTTTAATTCATGTGGATGACTAAACGGTATCCAAATATAATGAAATTTTATATAAATAAAATAAAGAGAATGAATAATTTCAAATTTCAAAATTTCAATATACTTTTTGGTGTCATAGACTATCTCTAACCGGAAGGGTTAAATATAGCCTCCTTAATAATTTATTAGTTTTAAGTTTACACTTTAAATTTATTTGTTAATTTGACTTTTAAATGTTTTCAGATCTACCTGTTGAATTTGAATCAATTATTGTAACTTAGGAGTTGGGCCTCAAAAAATAGGCTAAGAGCGGGGCTACATTCGGCTTGGCAGATGCTTCTTTGGCTAAATAATGGTCTGGTGAGCTCTATAGAATTATAGCTTAGGTCATTTTTTGACTTTTGAACCTTTAATCCTCTCCATCGAAGATGGCTTAGTTTTGTATCTCCAAGCCCCACTACATCTGCCTCCAGAGTCTTGTAGGGATGATATATGTTTATTGTGAGTGTGAGTCCTATGGGGCACAAGTTACCAACTTTTGAGGTCAGAGATTAATGAAGTGTCAAAACATCCCTTCTTTTGGATTACAAGGAGTAGATTGAGCATTAAATAGATTGTCGTTCTTACATAAGATGCTTTATCGTTATAAAAAAAAAAAAAACGATACCAAACGTGATGAGCGATTTTAGTAAAGAATGAAAATCTAAATGCCTCGTGATTTAATTGGTATATGACGCACATGTGTAACAATGGTCGGGGAATTTTATGGAAATTAGGATGTAAAAGGGGGTAATGCACAGCATATAGGTAAAAGGTGATCACCTGCAATCGACGAGAGAGCTCATTGGCATGCAGTATGTTTGCTAATTTGGACTGGCCGTATGCATTTAACGTGGAGTAACTGAAGGGACACATAAAGAACAGTGAGCTAGAGCTAGCTGCTTATAAACTATCAAACCATGGAAAGAAATGGATTACTCAAATCATTACTTACCTATCTGGATCATTGATCCTGTCGAATCGAATCCCGCTTTCGTAAGTGCTTGTATGAGCAATTGATGACAAATTCACAATTCTGGCTTCTACACCAGTAGTTTTAGCTGTAGTCTTCATTTTTTCAAGCAGAAGGTTTGTTAACAGAAAATGACCTGTAAAATAGGTAAATATAATTAACTAGATTGCACTCAGTGGAATAAAATACTTGCAACCCCAGTACTTTAGTAAAACACTAGGCACCAAATGAATTTGACAGCTAACTACCAAGTGGAATATGATAAGTGCCTAGCAGAGCGGTTTGTTGTCCCGATTAATTTTGTAGTGTGCCGAGAAAACGGTCTGATACACTAAGTGTTATAACACAATAAGTTGAAATTTTTTTTCAAGTTTCTAACCAATTGTATTATTACACTTGGTGTAACGGTATACTGAAAAGTCTATATGTTTTCCCATTCAAGATGGGCCCCACAGTGAAATTTGATAGATCATGACAACAAAGAGGAGATAGTAGAAAATTACCAAGATGATTGGTTGCAAATTGTATCTCTATTCCATCTTCTGAAAGCTGGAAGGGGCAGAACATAACACCAGCATTGTTTCTGCAACATATATAAAACCAATCGATATAAATATGTAAAACTGAACAACTGAAAAATGGTGATCAAATTTTTAGGAAAAATGGAAAGAATTTATCACATTAAGAGGTTGAGAGGGAGATCGAGAGCGTTGAAACTATCGACGAATGCTCTAACAGACTTGATAGAGGAGAGGTCAAGTTTCAGAATATCGATTCGAGCAGTTTGATTGTCTTTAAGAATAAGCTGTTTAGCTTCGTTTGCAGCCTCAAGGTTTCTGGTGGCGATGATGACATGAGCTCCGCGGAGTGCCAACACCCTTGCAGTCTCCAACCCAATCCCACTAGCCCCTCCTGCAGTTTACAAAACAGGGCCAGCAAAGTTTAATTCAAACCAGAACATAGTTAATCCAAGAAATAAGATATTGGCCAAGTTTCTAGTTAATTAGCTGCGCAAAATTTACATTCAAAAGCAGTGTAGTACAGCTTGATACCGCTTTTGATTTCATGTTTATTTGTGTACGAAGAAAGTTGAGGTTACACACCAAATAAATTAGGAAATCAGGTGACATGTAGCACGTGTCAGCAAATCTAACTCTGATACTATGAAAGTATATTTAAAGGTTCCACCCAAATTGCCACTAAGTACTACGGTTTGATGATATTCCTCTTCATTTGGAAGTGAGAGGTCTTAGGTTCGAATTTCATAGATGGCGAATTCAATACTAAATTAGGTTGCTCATTGTGTGACTTTGCCAAACTTCCCTTCTCAGGATAGTCCAAATTCTTATAAGCTTACGCAAAGCTTAGCTTTCAAAAGTGGGACAAGTCAAATCCTCACATCCATATCTATAATATTGTTCATAGTAAAACCCAGCAAAGTGTTCCAATGAATGACAGAGCCATTTATTTGTTTATAGTCATAGTTAGATTATACACACGATTTTTTTTAAAGAAGATTACGATATTTCCTTTATTGATAACTAGCATATACGCACACATAAAATGTGTGAGAAATTTTTTTTATTTTTATTTTTGTTTTTGAAATAGAAGGAGAGAGGAAGAGAGTGATAGAATATGTGGGAGTTGGAGGTTGTTTTTTTTTATTTTTTTTTATTTTATTTAAAATAGAGATATATTAGGAGTACATGTAGGTGAGATTTTGAAAAAAAAATAGCAAAATTTGATTGTGTGAAATTACATTTATGTCTCATATTTCTTATTCATGTTCTGTTTTAATTAGAGAGTTAAACAGATAATTTCATAGAATTTTGGTTAACAATAAATGTTTTATTAATTAGTAGAGATTAATCAATCCCAACAAAACCAACCATATCTGTCCTCCTGCAGATTGGTAGCCTGAATGAGCCCCACAATTGAAAGGAAAAAAAAAACCAAAAGTAGAAGAAAAATTAACACCTCAAAAGAAAATTTTATGGTGCTTCCGAATATTTTGTATTATGTTCTTTTAAAACCATTAGATCAAAATCATTGTATTTTCGACAAAAATTTAATGGTTAATACTCCGGACCATTAAAAATCCCTATAAATGACAAGAAAAACAAAATAAAAAAAATATGGAAATGGAACTGACCAGTAACAATGGCGGTGACGTTGGATGCATCAACTCCTTCAGTAACCTGCTCAGCAGTGGAAGCTGATCCAAATCCACTTGGCCCTCGCTTTCCCGTCACCAATGCAAAGAAACCCATCTCCCAAAAATCTCACAAAATTAACCAACCAACCAATAACAAAACTCCAGAGAAGCTCAGAGTTCTTTTATTTTTTTTCCTTCTCCTTTCTGTCAAAAGCACAAGAACATGTGAGGGACGATTTGAGTTATTGAAGGTCTTTCTTGCTTTATATATAGCAATTTGGAATCACGGAATTGAAAATTTTTAGAGGGTAAAGACAACGATGCAGAACCAAAGCAAACAAAAATACATTAGATGTCATTATGGCGGGTTGAGTGTTGGTATTTAATAACAAAAATTTAAGATTTTCTAAACTCAATTTTTTTATTAACTCTCTAAAATTAGTTAACAAAACCGCCAATTGTTTATATGGCACAAACGAGACCCATTGTTGTTTCACACACCTCAACAACAATTGGTGTTATTTGTTCCACATAAACTATTTTAACATACTTGTTAAAGAGTAATACTAGGAGACTATACGACGCAGTTGTTAATGATTGAATTAAATTAACGTGATTTTAACAATAAAAGTCAAAGCGGGAAGCAAATTGAGTTTCACTAGAGACGTAAATGTAATTAACTCGATATAATCAAGTCGGTTGAATATACTGTTGGGAGGCAATTTAGGGTAAGAATCAAAATATGTCCCGCCCAATTGGGGTTTTGTGAGTAAATGAAAAGTGCAACTCTTACGCGGTACCGTCGAGTCCAACGATTATGTCATTCAATACCAATCGGACTTTGGTGGTGTCTAGGTGTAGGACGAGGTCAAAGGACCAATCGTAGCGCAAGGAACGGGTGTTGTGGTCACATCATGACTCCTGTATGAAGTTCATGAATCCATGAACATCCTGACTGGTAACTGGTCCTCTATGTGGAAACATTATAACGTTGTAGAGAATATTAATGCACAGTATAATTCGTTTACATGATATAACATGAATGACCAAATAATATGTACTTTGTACTATTATAATATACGTGAAAGGTCGTATCAAGTGATGGTACTCAGATTCAATTTGTAGTATTGTTTCAATGATCTGTAAATGAATGAAACCATTTATATTAACATTAGTCACTTGGTACTACGGTCTAGTGGTATTCCTCTTTACTTGTCTGTAAGAGGTTTTAGATTTGATTCTCGCTAAAAATGAATTTAAACCACATTATTGCTAGCCTATTGTGAGACTAAACCCATCCCTCCCTTAGTGTAAATAATATCGCTTATTAAAAAAAAAAATTATATTAACATTAAAACATTTATATTCTCACTATATAATTCTGACTTATCAATTAATTTCAGATAAGCATCATATACCTATCAAATTACACATTGTTAATTAGTTATTCTTAATTAAAACATTTCCTTAAGAACTTCTTTAACATAATTGGTTAAATGCGTTTGACCTGAAGGAAAAGGAAAAAAAAAATTGAGTCACATCCCGGCCGATTTAGATTCCTAGCTTAGTCTTGGAGCCAAGTGCTAATTTTCATACAGACTACCATTTAAAAAACAATACATACCAAGCTGCCAACTGACAAAGTTAACAGTACAATCATCAAACAAAAACCAGAGGACAATGACTATAAAACATTTGAAGTTTCCAATTGCACCACAATCACACCACAAAACAATGTTATATATGCGCATGTTTCTCATTCAGCTTTTGGAAGCTCCATCAATCAATTTGTTGCTGAAATCCCAAAGCATTTTTTTTTTTTTTTTTGCTACTTAGCAGGAATGATCAACATTTGACATTTGATTGTAAAAATATTTAATGTTTATTATGTTATTATTATATTATTATTATGTGATTGTTATATCATTATTGAATCATTGATATATGATCAATAAGTCAATATGATTAATATGTCATCGTTACAAAAATTGATCAATTATGTAATGAAATCTCATAAAGTAATCATCCCTGCTAATTGCTCAAGTTTTGTATGGCTAACTTTTCATCTATAGCATATTAGTTTATTGGATGTAAAGCCAAGTGAGCAAACAGTTGCAAAGAAAGATAATGAATGATCGCATGATGTACGATGAACGGATACGATTTATAGATTCCCAGGATCCTTACAAAGAGGATCTGGATTCATCGAAAACATGATGAAAGAATGACACTTGTCATTAGTGTATTGAATGTAAACCCATGTCAGCATAGTTCAAATCTCTCTAGCCTTTTTGTGCCCTATCTATTTAAATGACACGTGTCATTTTGACTTAATTTATCTTTTTATTTATTTATTGAGGGGATAAGTTGAAAATTTAACTCTATTAAGTGGGGTTTAAATGAATGGTCGGGGGTCGCTCAAGTAGATAGCACATATGGAGGGCATAAAGGATTTTGAATATAGAAGAATTGAACTTGTATTAGCAAGATGCTGTTAGAAATTTGTTAGTCTATGCAGTGAAGTGATGACTTAATCATCTCTAATGGTCTTCCTAAATGAATTCCTAATTGGAATTTAGGGAGAATTTAAAAAACAAATCAACTTCAGTCATGCTCCCTATCAACCTCCTAAGATTCATCTAGAAGCTCCTAAATATAGTGAGGGAGAAATGAACTCTTAGAGCATCTCCAAAGGATGTCAAAAAGTCCACATCAGTAATAACAGTTAAAAAGGACAATTCTAATGTTTTGGCAATTCCTATGTGGCAGACATAGAAAGGCAACAAAAGGCAACAAAGAAAGTTGCTATCAAATTTAATTTGATAGCAACTTCAAATCTATTTTTAGTAATTAATAAATAATTTTTATACTTATCTTTTATTTTAAAATAAAAATTGCAACTATAAAAGTAAATAATGTAATAAATAATAGTTTAAATTTGATATATTGGTTGGAGAACAAAACTTACAAAATAATGAATGTGCCATGTAAGACTTCAAATTTAAATTTTATGTTTAAAATTTGCCAAATCCTAAGTGAAGTGTCATGTAATCAAATTTGAAGGTAGAAGCAAACTCTAACCGATATGTCAAGATGTCAAATATTTTTTAATTATTTGTGGGTCTCATTAATGCACCAATTATAGATCTTGAAAATTTATTTTAATTGATTTCTTTTAAAATGAATTTTACAAATATCATTTATATATATATATATATATATATATATAAACATATCAGTTAGAAAAAGAGAAAATTTGATATTGTTACGTTAGCATTTATCTTTTGACATCTTCATTGGAGATAGAGATGCTCTATCTCCAATGGAGATGTCAAAATCCTAGGTGGAATTCTAATGTGTATATTTGACCTCAAAAGTCTCTCTAACCAAAGTGTTATTTGTTGACTAGATTTGAAGACTTTGTGATTTAGAGTCAAATTTGACATCAATGTCAAATTTATTTTTAATTCATTTAATGATGGGTCCTTTATTCCACTAACATTTCAACAAGTAAAAATTTTGTTTCAACATTTTTTTAATAACTGCAAGCATTTAAAACTCTATTTAAGTAATAAAATAACATTTGACAATTCGGTTGGAGAGGTACATAATTTGACATAAGACTTCCGATTGCCACATTAGCCATCAATTGTATTTTGACTCTTATAGTTTGACATTTCTTTTGGAGATGGTCTCTCAAAAGGTATGTCAAATCCTAAATGGAATGTCATGTAATCAGATTTCATATGTCAAATTTGACATATGAGAGCATCTCTACAGGAGATGTCAAATTTTAAACATTAAAATGATATTTGATGGCTTATGTGGCAATTAAGCTTGGCAAGCGGGTCGTGTTTGTCGTTTTCGTGTAACACGTGTTATCTTAACTGGTTGTGTCGTGTCACACCCGTTATCTTAATGGATCCTTAACAGGTCGGGTCACTTTACCCAACAGGTAAAATGACCCGACCCATTATGACCCGTTAAGAAACATATTTTTTTTTCTTGAATTTGTACATATCACATTGCCACATAAATATTATTTCAAAACTTTAAAACACATTTGTCGTTATGTAATACATCTACAATCCAAAATAAGAGCCTAATAAAAAAGTATCAATACACTACTAGTCTACTACAAAATATCAAATATGCAAGGATATGCAAAATGAAAGAGTTTTTCTTTTCTTGTGGCTACTGGAGTCAAGTTGAAGAAAGTGGATGGAGGAGGATGCGAGAGAGATGAGTGCATTCAAGGAGAGCGGTGCAAGTGTTGAAAGTCTGAAGAGATCAAGAGTGAATGAGAGAGGATAGTCTGGGCTCCAACCTAATGTACAATAGATGGTTGAGATTAAATCTCAGCCAATTCAATGGTCATCAATTTTCTAAATTATATATATATATATAATTATATTATTTTTTAGGGGTATAAAATTATTAAATTAATATATATAATCGTTATAATTATTATAATATTTTTTAGGGATATAAAATTATTAAATTAATATTTTGCTTATCGTGGATTGTGTTATCCATGTGTATATCCGGACTAACCTGTTATCTTAACAAGTGCTTATCAAGCTACCCGATAACGACCTGATTTGTTATCGTGTTGACCTAAAAACCTATTAATTTTGTGTTGTGTCGTGTTGGGTTAACGGGTCGTGTCAGAAATTGCCAGGTTTAGTGGCAATATGACATTTTGTTCCACTCGATATGTTAAATAATAATGTCATTTAATAAATTTTTTTTTTTTTAATCTTTTTGTGGACTCTAATTGACACACCCCGATCCGAAATGCCCACCTGGACTCCGAATCGAGCTATGTTAGTCGACACTCGAAGGGTGACGAAGCCATGAAATGTAATGATGTGGAAAATGTGAATAAATTCAAACCTAAAAGTACCTAAATACAAGAGTACGCTAGTGAGCGGGAATAAACCAATTTCACACGTGATGTCAGAGCATAAGTAAAGTACAGTAAAATAAGATGAGAATTATACCATTGAAGGTAATCTCCGATACCAAGATTTGCCAAGAATCATTGTTGACGCAAATGCTCAGCCACTAAAACATGCAAGGGCGAAAGACAAAGGTGAGTTCATCGACACATGCTAACACACGAGTTCATGCAGAGATATTCTGGCATGAACATGACTGGGTGTAACAATGATATATGATATAATACTACATTCACGTGAAGATTGGCACTATGCGTAGCATA